CTTTCCGTCATGGCGTCAGTTCGCCTGAGCAGCCCGGTGGAGAGTCTGTTCGCTGCTGGAGACTCAGTGTGGACTAGAGAGGGAACACTGGGAACATCTGCTTCATGGAGACGTTTGGAGGACGACAGGAAGAAGAAAAGACAACAGAAGACCAACAACTGGAGTTGGTTGGGAGTTGGAAGGTCAGTCAGAGGCTGAACGGCCACACAAACAAACAAACAAACAAACAAACACAGTTGGGTGATATAAACAAAACAAACAAGACGGGGTTGAACATTGCGGACTCCAGTTACTTAAGGGAACATGGAAGGCATTATTGTTTGAGAGGGATGAACATGGTGTTGTAACTGTTGTTGTGTTGTTTTTTCCTGCGTTGTTGTCAGAGAAATCAACGCCAACCGTTGAGGAGGTTCCAGAAAGCCTGCTGAGGTACCAACAGGAACCTAACACAGGTGTGTGTGTGTGGATCTTGATGTATATTGTTGTTTGTTGTTGGGCTCTTCAAATAAGTGGACCTTTATTGTGTGTGGATGTGGTGCAGGAGACTGCTGCTGCTGCACGCTCTGTGGGGAAGCTATAGAACAGTCGCAGGTGCTCCTCTTTCCACTCTTGAGCTGTTGACTAGAAATGAATGAATACCAGAAATGGTTAATTGTTGTCTGATTGTGACTTCCTCTGTCAGCTTTAACCATGTTCGGACCCTATTAATTTGTCTGGCACTCGTTAGTAATCTGCGAGAATCTAGTCAGCATGTGAGCGAGGTACAGGGTCATCTCCTCGTGGTCGTAGACTAGTTCTATGGGATTCAGGTCACGTAGTTCATAACATCTAAGATGTTTTGCATCTCTTTCACTGTTATCTGTCTGAGATCATTCCAATCTTTTCAGATAGTGACTATTTAGCTTTACAAGCTTTTGTATAATGCGCTGATGGTCAGAGCGTGCGTGTTGACGACTCGGGTCTGCAGGCAATCTATGAAAGAGTCTTCATGTAGAGTCATCTGTATTTACGCAAAGATGATGTTCGATGCTTAAATCAATATTTAAATTCTCTGCGGGTACATGTGAATACTGACCTCGTATCTCCTATACAAATGTACTGAACCTATAAACACTAACTGGCTAGTTGGGCTATCATTTGAAGGACTGGGTATGTAAACTGGACAGCATATTGGGTGTTTAATCTCTGTATATAATACTGAGTCAATCTAACAGTATATGGTTGTTGACGAAGAACGTCAGGCTTCCTGTAACAGAATCCCAACGCTCCCAATCAGAGCCCCGGACCCTCCACACACACACATGGTGGTCATGTAATTGCATTTAATTTGAATTTAATTAATTTAATTAATATGTAATTTGAAAAATATCAGTGAGAATGGTCTAAATTAAATTAGGGTCCTACCAAAAAATATCAAGTTATAATTATAATATGAATGATTCAATATATAATATTAATAGTGAATTAATCCTGCAAGTCACGGTCTGGCCTGTTTAGTTACAGGTATTAGCTATGCAGGCTAAGAGTTAAATCTAAGTTTTTTTATTTTTCATGTAGGTAAAAAAGACGATAACTGAGGTAGGTCTGAAAAACTGGGAATTGATTATAAGCATACATGGCCAGATCAGAGGAACAAATAGTAAAAGCATATATACTTAGTCAATGAGCGAGGAATAAGTAGAGGTATGGAGAGTCTAGGGGATAATTATGGTGTCGTATGGGTTTGAAGGAAGTATCTAAATAGTTAATAAATGAGCTTTAAAAAGATAATAGTAATACTATAGTAGGTGTCATTAATGTGTAAAATATTAATAATTTAATCTAGTCTGAATAATTTTATATGTAGTTCGTCTATATACATATAAATATTGCTCTAAATAGGAAAAGTGAAATTATCCCAGACTTCTGAATCACTTAGCCGTGTCTATCACCTGTTTTTTTGATAATATTATATACAACTGTATATATGTAGTGTCGTAAATTTATGATATTAATATAATAATAAGTATGTGTAGTCTAATTAATTTAAGTTATAATATAATATGTGTAGGGTCGTATCATTATTATGCTGAAATGATATATAATGAGAACTTATACTGTTCAGTAATATATATGTCTAAGTGTTAATTTCGGATTATTCCGGCAAATCAACAAGGGGATTTTAAGTATGATATGTGTATAGTAGTCTAAATGTATAAATGCTCTAAAAAATATAATCAGAATTACTTACATACTTGTAGTGGTCTCATTTGAATTTAATATGAAGATATGAACTTATTTTGTGGCTTCGTCTTATAAAAATATTAAGAGATCTCAATACTAGATGAAGATGGTATATAAATATTATGCTAGTGGTACTAATTTAATTAGATATAATCTCTATCTATATTTATGTATGGTGTCTAAATTGTAATTTTTGAAGTGTATCTGCCAACTTCAAATGCTTTTGATTTGCCCCTCTTTATTTTTATCATTATGGGGTAAGGTGTTATAAAATGTGTAACCTTAGTTTTTTAACTGCTGATTTGAAGAGGTGCTTTTCCTGCCTTGATTGGTACTGTTGGTTGGACATACAAGCAGGCTGCACCAGATTCAAATATAACGTTAAGATAAATTGTTAGTTTTAACGGTCAATTGTATGATTCCTAATTTAATTCTCTTTGGCCCGATATTAAATGTAGATACCTCAATATATAATCTATTTCTTGGTGGGTTAATCTTAGATTTGAGTAATGGTAAAGACTGTAAATATAAATTGAAATAATAATATTGTAGTGTCTAATTTAATTTGAATCTGTAAACCTATCAAAGGTTAGCGAAACAATTCTCGTTGTATGGCTTATAAAGAATTGTGAAGATCCAGAGTCTAGTGGTTGAATAATAGTGAAGGTAAGGGGAGCATGAAACATAGCAGGCGTTGAACCGTAGCAATGTTTTAAGCCCAACTGTCTTAGAATCACTATGATATACTGGCAGACGATTATGTTTTGTGCCTTTAATAGCGTAAAAAAATATAAGTATTTCAGGTATTCTAGTGTCCAATGCATAGGATATATTCCCTTGACCTAAAGTGCCTGTTATACTAAAATGCTCTCTCTCTCTCTTCTGTCTTTTGTCCACTAGATAGAGACAGATTGGTTCCTCCAGCGGAGCAGATATCATGTGGGGAGATCCTCGCAAGAAGATTGCCTGGAGGGGGGAGAGGGTTGTATATGGTCCAGTTGATATTTCCAGGCCCGTCATAAGTTCTAATTAAATGACTTATGTTTAAGCCAGGTTGACCCCCGCTCTTACACTCTGTGGAACATCGCTCGTGTGGACCATCCGGAGACTCACCTGACCAAAAAAGGAACTCATAACACCTCCTCACCGCATCACACGGCAGCGGGCGCGGAGACTCCACAGCGCCCCACTACCAAAATGCCCCATGGACACCACCGAGCGCGTTGGACTCGATACCCGGTTCTCGTACGTGCTTCCTGCTTACGACGTCATCCAACACTGGTCTGGTCACATCCAAATACCGAAATTTGCAGAAGAGTCTACTCAGATAGCCGTAGAGGATATTCATCTAGGGGCGCTGTTTAGGCTTCTTACCCTCGGAGACGGAGCATCACAGCCATCACCAATCTAGAACAACGTTCCATTGAATAAGGGAGATGGATCAAGACAGGACCTTAGGTCTCAATTATACTAAAACCTAGAACCAGCTATCGATAACACGTCAGTCTGACGTCCACCTATCTGACAACTTTTACTATGGCTTCCTTTAGCCCATTGACGCTCATTTGTGTACACATGGACAGCATAGATCTTTTCTACATCACAACGGTGGACAGGTGTTATCAGCGAACAGACAACAGTTGCACGTCATTCTTCAGCTTAGGAGGACGCAGTAGCCATGACTGACAGTTAAGAATCCTCGTTATTTTACCACACCTCATTAGTACCTCCTTTTGAGGAGCGGGAGGAATAAAACACACCAAAAACATGTTACCCCAT